AAATCTGGTGCCGCTCGGGTCACCGCCTTCGCCCGCTCCAAAGTTTGCTGGTTAATAAGAAACCAGAGCAGAGATTTATTTATAAAGCTGGTAAATAAATAAAAAGGGGGGGGGCAGGATTGGAGGGGCCCGGTGGGATTTTGGGGGTGCTCAGGGGTTGCTCGGGTGTTGCAAATGCACGCTGCAGCAGGGGGGTGTCAGGGGGCTGCTCGTACACAGAATTTGCAGGGGCAGGGCAGCGTTTGCACGTGCACGGTGGGCATTTTGCACGTGCAAGGTACCGCGTGCACGGTGACTTTTGCACGTGCACAGTGATATTTGCATGTGCACGGTGGCATTTGCTGAGTCAGGGCCGCGTTTGCACGTGCACGGTGGTATTTGCACGTGCAAGGCACTGTTTGCACATGCACGGTCACTTTTGCACACGCATGGTGACATTTGCACGTGCAAGGCTCCTTGTGCTCAGCCCAGGCAGCATTTGCGTGTGCACGGTGGCATTTGCACACCCAGAGCACGTTTTGCACACCCAGGGCCCCTCGCAGGTGCTACCGCAGGCCTCAATCCCCCCTCCCCCCTTGCAAGCTGCAAAAGCCCCTCCCCTAATTACCTCCCACCCTAATTACCCTCCCTAATTACCAAACCCTAACGAAGGGGCGGGCCCCGGCGGGTGCCCCCCCCCTTAAATCCCCCCTCCCTGCAATGCTGAGCCCTGCACCCACCCCGACTCCCTCCCCCCAGGCAGCAAATTGCCCTAAACCGAAGGATTTTAAAGCAAAATAAATCACCCAGGAGGCAAAAGACCAGGTTTTAGGGACAAATTAACCCGGTGAGTTAATTTTTTTTTCCCCGTCTTCGTGTGGTTTCAGGGTACCCACACATGTGATGAGTTGGGTGCCCGGGTCAGTCCTTAGCCAAGGGGCCCGGGAGGCATTTTGGGACCCAGCCCCATCGCGTTTTTGCTGAAAGAAGGGGGTTTTATCCGCCGAGGCTCCGGCTCCCATCCCAAATCCCACAGCGGGTTCGGGATGGGGCAGGCAACGATGCAAATTACAGGGGAAGGAACCGTGTATTTACAGAGGCAGCTCCCCGCACGAAACCGCCGGTGGCTGCTTTTGCTCCGC